ACAAACCTACGTCCTGAGACCCTCACTGCCACTGTCCAAGCTCGGCCCCGGCAGATGAACCTCAGGATTAAAGGGTGGGCTCAGTTCAGCGCACACTGGGTCTCACCTAAAAAATCCACTGCGCAGGCTTGAAGGGTCAATGACCTTTCCCAAATGTTCGCTCGCGAAGACTGGCCATTATTGGGTTGATACAGTCAAATGTGAAGTGAATGGATGCTGAAAGGAAGTGCTGCACATGAAGTCCTTTACCTGACTGGTTTGGTCTCGGGGTCAATGTCTCTGAAACCCATCTCTTCCAGTCTGCAGCGTCTGTACAGTTCATAATGTTGTGCGTGAGTCTTCTCTCTTAAGTCTTCCATATTTGTGCAAAGCATCTTGCGAAGCTTTACAGTGTCACAGTGGCTCTCATTTTCCACTAATCAGTAAAAAGAAAAAGATTTTATTATTATGCACAAGTAGCAAAGTAGTCAAAATACATTTCAAACAGCACTGAGATTCATTTATTTTGTTTACTAAACATAATTCTAGAAAAAGGTTTATTATAACCCTTATATTTCCTTATAATTTCTAATATACAACACTGAAGTACCGTAGAACCCTAAGTACTGGTGAACATGTTTCAATATGTCCTGATTTCCTGTTTGAGCTGAACAACATGACATTTCTTCTTTTTTACCCCCTTCTTTACTGACAATCATAAAGTTTGAAATTTGGTAGTGCTAGAGGAACTGCCACCATACTACCCTACCCAAATACTACATACACCATGTCATACTTTGATTCCAAGGATGTATCAGTGTTGATAAAACTACCGGTTAGTGCACACCTCAAATATTAATTGCTAAACTTCTTAAGCTGTTGATCCAAAATACAGTCAGCATGGCATCAGTGGAACAGCCCCTTGTATTACTGGTGAATTTTATACTTCAACAACAACAACAACAAAAATCTCATAAAAACACCTCTGAGAATTCATTTACCTTTTACAATGCCCCAAGGGTACTGACGAGCTCTCACCATTTTGTTTCCAATATTAATCTTTTCCATACTTCCTACTACAGCAAAAGGCAAATTACCCTGTAAGAGTCATACCAATAAAGTCTTATCTCTCAGTATTCTTATGCCACAACTGAAAAACACTTCAGAAATAAATTAGGGGGGAAAACACCACTTCAGGAAAATCCAACAGGCAATTTCAAACCAAAAACCACTTTGAAGAGATCAGTAGCTAGTCACTATCTACTGATAAAAAAGTCAAGCTACAATAACAAAAGCAGGAGGAGCGGTTTACAGACCCAGATGGGTGTGCTGCCAATTCAGGGGAACCTCAACAGGTGGAAAATGGGCCAACAGGCATCTCATGAAGTGGCAATGCGAGCAATGGCAAGCCCTGCACGTCAGGAGGAACAACCCCATGCCCCAGCACATGCTGAGGGCCAACTGTCTGGAAAGGCACTTTGCAGAATAAGATGTGGGGACAACGACCTGGTGAACAACAGGTTGGACCTGATTCAGCAGGTCTGCCCCAATGGCAAAGGCAGCTGACTACATCCTGCATTAGGAAGAGCATCATTAGCAAACAGAAAGCTGCTCTAGAACACGATTCGCTTTCAGTCAGAATTCATATCCCCAGTAACGGTCATGTGACAATCACAGCTTGGAATCCATGGCATGGTTACTGCTGTGGGCTGCCCAAATGGCTGACTGTCTGTGTGCTGACCCACAACAACTGACCAAACAAAAAAAAAATCATTACCTGGAAAACACATCACTAACAGAGCATGGAAGGGGTAAGTAAGAGCTCACTACCTTTCCCCAGAGCAGAAGGACCTGTCACTGACTGAGAGCTGCACATGGTCACTGCCTGGCCAAGTAACAGAGGCTGGGATGCAGAGCCATGCGCTCCGGCACACCAGCTCCTGCTCCCTGCTTTCAAACCCCGGTACACACAAACATATGTTCATGTGCATCTACAAACACTTGCACATAAACAAATGCAGAGTGCTCAAAACAAAGCCATCTAGCCTCAGAAGCTTAGTTGAAGCTGGTAGCTACTCCTGGGAGGATCTGAAAGGACAAAAGAAAATAAGCCAGAATTATATCTGACTTTTTCATTCCCAGAGAAAATTTGTCCTAATTTCAAATGAAAGTACTAAAGGAAATAAAGGAAAAAAATGCAGGCAGAAGTCTTGCTGTGATAAAGACCAGAGAAAATTGTAGACACAAGGCACCTAAATATCTTCTCTAACAGATGTAAAGCTGTATTTGCTGAGGAAAAGGGCAAAGTCAATCTGTCTGTCCATAACAGTAATTATATATTAATTATTCAGAAATTAGAAAAAATATTTATGCATGAGAACCTCTTTTCTGTTGCTGAGCCAGAAAAGAAAAACCAAGTGATATCAACTGCAGAGGGGTAGGGAGATTTGCAAGTAGGGAAGGAAAAAGCCAAAACATATGAGCTTTTTAAGGTGAGAAAAACAAACTCACGACATACAAACTTATAAACTTCAAGATAACGGTGAAAGAAATTCCATTAATCAACATTAGAGAGTGATGCTTTAGTACTGAAAAATAAATGTTTTTGTCGTTTACTTACATTCGTGATGGTATTAATTTCAGAAACAGTTTCATCATCAGTTGGAAACTGGTATATCTGGATGCCATTACTAACTAATTCACTCATTATTTTGCTCTTGAACTCCTGAAGCTCAGTTTTAGAAATGCTGTCTGCTTTGCCTATAACTGGTATAATGTTCACCTAGTAATGATATAAATTATATGAAATGTGTGAGACTTCAATTTTAAGGCGGCAACTTTTGTAACTTAAATTGTTTTCTGATAAGCTCTTTAATTTCTCCCCCAGCCCAAACTTTTCCATCACTTCACATCAAAGCTTCACAAACCGTTAAAAATATGTTCATGGGCATAATTTAACAAAATAGCAACAGATTACTGAATAGTCTTCCTTAAAATTAATTGAATATGAGAAAAGAACAAGGAAGAAGATCTCATACAGTGAAGTACTCAAAAGAACAGTAATGCCTACTCATTAACTAAATGTCATTATTTATATTTCTACTAAAAAAACAGATTGTTCTAGTTTATAGCACCAGGGGATATAGTTAAGGTGTTAAATGAAAGCTGAGAGTTTACTTTCACAAAGAAAAGGAAGCTGGCTATCAAACCCTGCCTACCCCTGAGCCTCTTCCTTGGGTTCCTTTCAGCTAAAACATTATCTTCTTTACCTCACCACTACAGCAAAGACCTTCCCAAGTATCTGATGTGAGCAGAGGAATGACGAAGACTGAAGAATCTTGCTCACCAGACTTTCCACTAATTATTCAAACTTGAAATTCAGTTCTACTAATCTGCCCTATTTCCTAAAATACCTATGGCAGTAACTTAGGACAGTAGCAGATGCTACTTTTTTTTTTAAATCCTGACACCACTCCCAAAACATACATTTTTCAGGACTAGATACAAATAATGAATGCTAATATCCAAATATTTTGGAAGAACAATACCAATAATTCTCCCAGAATTCAGAAGACGAGAGTTTTTACAGAGTTCTTTGATCACAGATGCAAAATGGAAGGAGAGGAAAAAAATAAAAACCCACACATTTTCTATTCTTTTGATTATTCTGTCTGAATGAAAATGCCTAAGCATGGAAACTCAAGAACAGATTCAAAATGGCTATTTTTCAAATAAGACTTCTGTCCTAAGCAAAATGTCCAAATGAAAAGGGAGCAAGCCAATTCCGAAGTATGACTTCTAAGACTGCATGATGACAGTCCTTAACTGTGTAACCTGTGCAACCTAAGCACCTATTGGGTAAAATATCTAAAATCAAATAAAACGTTGGAATATATTTTTTTAATAAGTGAGCGCAGCTAGGAGTAATTCACAGCTTGCATCAAATTAGCTGAGGGACATCAATTTAGGTTTCCTATAATACAGCTCTAAAAATGGATGGAAGAGAGTCCTGAGAATCAAATTAACCTATATTCTGTATTTTCAACAGCAAAGTTTTTCAAGTACTTGTTAATTAGGAGAGAATTACTTAGAAAATGAATAGCAGAGAAAGACTACTGAGATCAGTAACGCAAGAAAAGCAACATCTTCAGAAACTGTGATTACAGCTGTCAACATTGATGTTACATCACAGCCATTGCATTAAAATTTAAACACATACAATTTATGTTTTAGATAAGCAACAAAGGGAAAAAAAATATTTTTGAAATCATTACTGGTTGCAAGAGCAAGTTGATTTAAGAGTACCTCTATGAATCAACATAAAAATTTCCAAAGATTCTTTCAGATTCTTTCAGAAGGAAAAAAAACAAACTCAAACGCCACAAAGTACACTCATGTAATTTCCTGACTTGAATGCAACCTGTACACAATTCCACTAGAATTAATTAAAACTGCAGATCTCTTAGTTGAATAATCACTATTCCCAGCACGAAAGGTTACAGAAAAAGATTCCCTTAATCTGTGAAGGAAACCTGGTTGGTCTGTAGTGATGGCATCCTAAGCAAAACTACAGGATTTTTCAATGTCTAAAAGCTACAGCCCAAATTCTTAGCCAGTCATCCAATTTATAATTGGAAAAAAATTAACTGACCACAGATACTCCGTTTTTTCGCTCCCACGATTAGAGAGTACACAATGACCTTCTCCTATTCCAAGAGCTCTCTCTACCTCTGAGCTGTGGAATCTGGTCTTGTTTTGTACCAGGCAGACCGTAACAAAAGCACACAGAGTACACTGTGGTGGCTTTAGGAAGAAACTGAAGGCAGCTTTTGATGTGGCTGTACCATCTTCTCTTTAGGGAATCCTGTACTCAGAAAATGCACCAAGGGATTTCCACATTCTAGGCAATCCCAAATTCCTAACTGGCATAGGAGAATGCAGTACTAAAAGCACCACAACTATGTTCCTCAATAAGATGGAATCCAAGCTACAGTTAAAGTATATAGTTTATATGCAGTTAAAGAATATACTTTTTCTGTGTGTATTTCAGTAGTAAGATCAGAAAGTAGAATCCATTACAAAGGGATAAAATAATGAACTTCCATGTGGTTCATGTTCTCTTTGTGCCAAAGTAGAACTAAGAATAGTTACAGTAGGTGGCTAGAAGCCAAAATTCCCCAAAGAAGAATTACTTTTAGTTTATTCTGATCGAAATATTTACTCAGGATGCTGAGACTCATGGATCTACAGTCTTTTCTTTTGAAAGAAACACTGTTTTAAAGGGAGAGGGTACAACCTAGAAAACAAGTATTTTTGTGGTTAAACACAAACTCCAAAACTCAGTGTAGAACATGGTCCTTGAGATTGTCTTATTTTCTACAGTAGTTTCATAAACATTTAAATCTGGCATAAACCAACAACATAGCCCACAGAAGTGATCCCACTCTTCCCTACCTTTGTACCACCATACCTTCCCTCCACTTGCTCTGTGCTATTGAGAAAGTTCAAAATGCAAAATACATCCACAAACAAAATTTTAAAAAATCCCAAACATGCTCATCATCACAAATGTGGACTAGACATCTGATTTAATCCTTGTTATCTTGGAGAAATATCTCAAGAACAAGAAAATGCAGGAAGAATACTTAGCAATGACGGGCTCTATTAAAGCACAAAGGAAAGGACTAAAGGAACAGAAGACACATTTAAGTTTTCAAATGTCTCAACATTTCAACAAATTGAATCCAAATGATGTAAGGTTTCTTAAAATAGGTTAAATATTTAGCTTCATCTAGTTCACACAGCCCTATTACAGGAAGAAAGTTAAGGATTTAGAAAGCGCAAGTAATTACACTGGAAACTTCTATTTTAAAGCTTTCTAAACAAATAAACATGTTAAAACACTACTGCAGCCTATCTTCGAAAAACCACATTGGCAGGGTGCTCTGTTTGTGGCAGATGCCTCTTCAGTTATCTATAACAAAGATCTTCATAGCACTGCAAAGCCTTTTATATGCCAACTTTCCAGCAGCCCGAGAACTAGAAACAACCTTTATTAGAAATACCACAGCACTCATGGAAGGTACCCTATCCAATCTCCATATGATCTTTACAGTTTTAAAGTTGGTGTGGTTCTACTTTTTTACTATTTTTTCAACCTTGTTTTTTTTTTTTTAATGTTCTTGCTGGATGTCTCTCTCCTTTTGACTTATAAATAAACAAGTGACAAACTGCAAGCTACTTGCGGAGACAATTTATTCTGAACTTAAGGTACACCAGCACCCAAAAAAACACTGCAAAACCAAACACTCAGATATAGAACTGAAAAGTGCTAGTGGACCTGAAAGCTCCAAGATGCTTCAGAAATTAAGACAAACTCTTGGAACTCTATTTCAAAGTCTTACCTTACTGTCTAGGCCTCTCATGGTTAACAAATCTAGGGTTTTTAGGGAACGGCCTGTAGGTGAGATGAAATAGAGGCAGACATGGATGCGAGTATCATGGTAGCTAAATAAAGAACGTATAATTTTCAGTTCTTCCTGGAGATAGGCTTCAAATTGTGCATCTATATAATCCACTACTGGTTGATAGCTGTAGGAAATAAAATTTAAAACCCAAAGATTAGCTACTCCTAAACAGAACCAAACTAAGAGGGGAATTACTCTTGCATTGTTTTATGGATTTTTGCTTTATATGTCAAAAGGCTGCTCAAGCAGAGCAGAAAATTAAATGCACAGACTAATCTTAATTTCTGAAAAGCTACTCAAAAAAAAATTGTGTACATAGTACAGATAAAACATTTCTTAGCTACCATTAGTGAAAAAAGGTACACAAAGTTAATTATGATTACAACTGATCTTCTCAAGTGATGTTTTTAAATTTTTGCCATCAAGCTGTGCAAATGCAGAACTCTTAGATATAAGGAAGACACAAAAACCTCTTAGGTACAATATAAGAAAAGAAAAAATATGCAACTAACAGTATCAAGAAATAGGATGAACTTTATCTTCTAAAGTACTGTACGTGACAGAGTTCTTAAACAATAGACAAAAACTGAAAATGAGAAATGTAAAAGAATAATGTAAATCTGAGCAAGTACAGTCTAAGTATACTTTATCCTACTTAAAACCAAACTATAATCTGCTTTCAAAAAGAAACTGTTGCTAGATGTAGAAGGAGTACACCCTTACATTTCTGCTGCTACACGAAGTTTATAAAACAGATCAATGCTATCAAAATTCAAAAGCAGCTGTTACACACAAAACTAAAAGAACAGTGAAAAGGCAGCTCCTATACCGCACATCAAAACCTCTAATAGCTATAGTAACATGTACCTGCATCTCATTCATCCAAGTCACTAGTGGTAGCTATTATCCAGTCATATCATAAGCCATAGCTCTCATGACAATCTTAATGTCACTTTCTGACCTTCATTTATTATTGCCACCATTTAGGCACTCAAATAGCATAAATTCTGTACAATTAGGGTGAAGGAAACAACATCTGCTGAGACAGCTCAGTACTGTAAAATCTTCAACTCGTAAAAGCAGAGACTCAAAAAAAGTTGTGAAAGACACTAATGCACTACCTCTACATTGCCAATTAAGCCATCCAACATAAAGAACAAAGGCCTTCAGTAATCCACATGATGTTACTTCCAGTGTAAGGTCTTCAACACGTTCCAGTCAAATTGTTAAAAACCCTATATATCTAATCTACAGTACTGCTTGGCTGTTTAAAAAGCCTTTCTTTGACCTCCCTGCTTTTCTCCACTCCAAAAGAAACTACTGCATGTTGTATGTACAAACATTTATAAAAGAAAACATCACAAATAAAGGGGCAGATTTCATCTGATTTATAAAGGAATTTCCTACATGAAAAGAAAAACGTGTTTACTTTGGTACACAGTGAAAACAGTTAACGATATATTTAGAACATATGTAAGCCAAATACTTACTACAAAGCCCAAAGATAAATCAACTTGCAGTTAAGAGCAAAACTTCTTCATAAAACAGGGACACAAAGGCACTTACCTATCTCTTTTGTTCATCTGGTCACCAAATCCCACTGTATTTACAATGGTCAGCTTCAAAAGAACATCACTCTCCTGAAGTTCGTAAGTCTGGGTTCTAAGTTGTACACTTGGCAGAAAATGTGTTGATGGAGGGTCCTCAAAATTGCTGTTAAACAAACTGTTTATCAAGGCTGATTTTCCAATTCCAGTTTCTCCTAAAGTTCAACAGAAGGGTTGGGGCAGACATTTTGCACATCAGATAAATACACAGTAAGCACAGAAAGTGCTATCACAGAAACTCAACAAATTTACACAAAAACTTCTCAACTGATTTCTCCAAGCAAAATGCATTCCTGCATTCCTTTAATGAGCACTAAATATCTTTTACTTATTTTTTTTCATCCTACATATTAGGGTAAGTTACCAGCTAACGAGTAATAAGCAGAACAGTCTCTTGACACTTTGGTTTCTTTAAAAGTGTGAACTAATTTCCTACAGGTTTTAAGAAGCTACATAGCCAGCTGTGAAAAAACAAGGTTCAGCAAAGGGTTTTTATGAATAAGGGTAAAATACTAGAGCAAATATTTTATAAGTATAGAAACATTTCAGTAACACCACCTTGGAATTTTAGGATCTTTTTAATCTGAAGCTCTTCGTTACAAGTGTAGTCCAGTTTACTCAGAAGAATCCAAAAAACTGCTGATAAACCAATAAACTCATGGCACCCATTTTCAACATTTTTGGTCTTCACATTGTTTACAAAAATGCTAAATATAAAACCAAAGAATGGATACAAATAAGCAAAGCTGGGGAAAGGGACAAAACTATGTTCATGCTCAACATTAAAGAAACTATTTAACACCACAAGTGGATTTAAATTCCAGTCACTTCCTAAGGACGGGTATATTACTAAAGCCTTAAAGCACCCAGATACAACTCACCAATGCAAAGAACATTGAAGGAGAAGCCCTGCTTGATGGATTTCTTAATCAGCTGGTCAGGTAAACTATCAAACCCCACGTGCGCAGACAAGGACAAAGTTCGATAGTCATCATTTTGCTACATACAAATAATTTAAAAATACGTTAGTGAAGCTATTTGCAAAGCAATTAGCAATTGCAACAAATTAACTCTACCAATAAGCTGGAACTCATTCCTTGCGATTTACATGCAATGAAGAAAAGCCAAAGTCTGAAAAAAAAAAATCTGTCAAATCAACTTTATTCCATGATTTGAGAAAACTGAAATTTACATGAATGAAATAAAGCAGACAAGTCCAACTGAAAATGTGAACTGCAAACCATAGAGAGAAAACAGATCCCAATTGGTTTGCTCCTAGAAATTAGGGACATCAAGGCACTGAGCATACTAAAAACACATAAGACTAAAAGGAAATATCTTGGTTCATACAAACTAACTGTATTTTCAAACAAACTTTCCATATCAAAAGTGTAAATGGTAACAGGTCCATGCTATTTTTTCTCTTATATTTTTGACCCACATGGAATGGGAAACCATTACTGCTTCCTGGAAACAAGCACATGGTGAACAGCAGGAAATTTTTTAATTTAACACTTAAAAGCCCATAAAAGTGCTACCTTTTTTAACAGGCATGCATAGCAAGCCTCAGAATTCCTGTAGCTTAAAGAATACGGACATTACTCACAGTAAATACTCATCCTCTTCTTCATTTGCACAAGATTCCCTTGTGTGGGACTACAAACTGCACTGCACCAACTGCACCAACTCTCATTTTAGACTATTATAATCTGGTAATCCCATTTTAGACTAACACAAAGGAGAATGTGCACACAAAGTGAAGAATTTAAAGGGAAAATATAACATCTTTGGGCTATAAAAAAAATAAATGTACATTCAAAGCATGTCTGAAAGTGAAATTTCTCAAGGTATTCTATCAGAAGGAAATTACTATTAAAAAGTGATGAGAAACACTGAAAACTGTCAGTGTCCTGTCCCTTTAAAGACAAGTGTATCTGAGACAGTGGGAGCACATCTAAGAACTCTAGTTACACAGCTCTATTGCCACCAATAAAAGACAGTTCTAACACCAACCATTCAGCCTCCACCCCGAAAAGCCATTGTAAGAGGCTTAGCATGACTGTAGAAGGGAGGCCTTTCATTTTTCTGTCACTAGCCTAAATCCAAACCATGCTAGCCTACTCTCAAAACCCCTGCATAGCCATTTGTCACTCTCCAAGAAAAGACCCTAGCAGAAAGAACTTTATTTCCTTCTGAAGTCCAGATGTTACAAAGATAAGTTGGTAGAATCACCTTGCTAAGATTTAGGGCTTGACACACGTGAATGATCTCAGACCTAGTGTGAGGGGAGAAGGATATATTGCTGATAGTGGACACAAAGAATGCAGAATTTACAGGCCACAAGGACATTTGGCAGAATTCCCAATATAAGGAAGAAACTAACAAAGCCAACTCAGCAACTGCGCTGAAAACAGCTCTAACCAGGCAAAAGGTAATTCTGACTGGGAAAAATTGTGACCACCAACTCACATCCCACTGACTCAAGAAACCCACCAACTCAAAAGAAGAGAAGGACTGTGGACTAATTAGCATGACAAGCGAGAGAATAATTTAATGATAGAAGGTAGACCACTAATTAAGAAAACTGTGTAGCCAATGAACAGCAATTTCTTTGTTTCCTAAAATGTGTAAATGGTGCAGGGTTTTGATGATTGGGGCCTAGCACTTTTGCATTATCACTTAGCTCCCTACTTCGCATAAACTAGAATAAAGAAACAGAAGTACCTCATCTTGGTGTGTAAATTGGCTCTGCACACAAGGAACTGAGCCCTCATTCAGGACAACACCTCCACCTTCCTTACAGAAGAGTCACTGTGTAAACCTGTTCCACATGACAGTAATCTCTTAATAGAAAAGCAGTAGCCTACGTTTTTCCTTCTGAAATTTTCCAAGGGCATCATGTGTTTGTCTCTAACCTCAGTACCTCATACAGCTTCATCTGCTACCATCTAATGAATACATAGAGAAATTAAATCCACGAACTGACCACATACCTGCATTCCTACTACTTCCAAAAGAAATAATACATCATGTAGTTGAAAAACAAGTTACTAGTGTATTGCTAGATTAGAAAAATGGTGGTAATTCAAAAATCATAGAATCATAGAATGGTTTCAGTTGGAAGGGACCTTAAAGAGTATTCCAGGACATCTTCCACTAGAACAGGTTGCTCCAAGTCCCTGGATGCTCCAACTTGGCCTGGAACACTTCCAGGGATGGAGCATTCACAGCTTCTCTGGGCAACCTATTCCAGTGCCTCACCACCATCACAGTAAAGTATTTCTTCCTCATATCTAATCTAAAGCTATGCTATAGTAAGAAATCTACCCTAAATTATGAACTGTAGATCATACTGAAAGCAATTAAGTTACCTTACCAGCTAGTCTCTTCAAATTAGTATTTGTTGCATGGAGCAGCTCAATTATGCTTGAAGACAGCACCTCATTCAACTTTATTCAGTGAATAACTCAAACCTTATCATTTGGATGCTAGCAAAGCTGCAATATTCCCATAAATACTTCCTGTTTCTCACTGCTTCCTCAGAATTGACACTCTCAACAAAATAGCACGTAATATAGATAGCCTGAGATGGTCTAAATACATCTCGCTCCTTCCCTCACTCCCTTTTTAAAAGGCGAGTAGCATAGCTAATGCATCTGGATTTCTTCAGATTCATTACACTGGATGTGGCTCTGAGCAACCTGATGTAGTGGAAGGTGTCCCTGCCCACAGCAGGGGGGCTGGAACCAGATGATCTTTGAAGTCCCTTCCAACCCAAACCATTCTACAAATCTATGATTTAATCAAGTATTTTGGTATATATAAAATCATCTTGCCCATTAAAGACAGCATGCAAAGAAAAATCATTGCCTGAGACAGCATAACATTTAAAAACTATTCTGTCTTGCAGAAGAAACTAAAAAAATTAGTTATCTTTTAAATTTGCCACATCTTTCTGACTAAAACTGCACAACACAGGGCCATTCCACAGCAAAAGCTGGGTCTCAAGACTACAAGCATCTCTCTTCATAAGCCTCTGCAGAACCAGACTGGCAGTCCAGGCAAAAAGCTAGCTTTCCACTGAGCTGGTAGAGATGACTGAAATTTGCCCTTCAAAACCTGAAGAAAAAAGTAATCAGTGTGTGCCGAGGTAGGAGGAGAGAGTCTCGCCAGCCCCACGCGGCTACACAGGCTGCACGGAAGCCCTGGGAAAAGATGCCTGGGCATCAGCCCCGAGGGTGGACATCACCACACTGACGTGCCCACGGGCACCTCAAATGGGGCTGTTTCAGCGCCCTGAGTTTTCCACTGAACAGGTGTGGGCATTAGGGAATTAACGCTCCAGCACTGACGCCATGACGCAGAAACAATTCTTCAATAGCCAAGATTCAACTTATTACTTGAAATATGCGATGCGCCACAGGAGCGCTAAGAAGGGTGACATCTGTCAACAAGTTCCTTCAACAACAAGTGTTCTAAAAGCCTGGCAGCTCCAGGAACTACACGGCATGCGGAGGAGGGATGCATTTCCCGCGCACTCCCGATCCCCGCCCTGACGCAGCCCTCACCAGCGCCCGGCACGGACGCGGGGCAGCCCCTGGCCCCCCGCGGAGAGGGCAGCTCAGTTCGGGCAGCACTTCCACCTCCTGGCACAGAGTTACCGCCGCTCTCCTTCCCCTCGCGGTGCCGGCGCTGCCGGGCCCATCCGTGCCCTCAGCCGCGCCGGGGTGACCCTCAGCTCATGGGGCTGCTCACCATCCGCTCCCCACACCGCGGAGGAGACTTACCGGGTGCCGACCGGCATCGGAAGCAGCCATAGCCTCACCAGGCGAGGCAGGGAAGAAGTGAGGAAAGCAGGTATGAAGGGAAAAACTCGGCCAGAGCGGCCGCCGAGGGGCGAAAGCCACGCGGCGGGGAGGAGCGCGGGGCGGGGATGCGGTCCCGGCTCCGCCGTCGAGGCGGGCATTAGCGGCGGTGCCTCCCGGCCGGAGGGCGGCGCGGTGCCGCTGCCGCGGCAGTGATTGCCGGGCATGCAGCCGCCGGGAGGAGGGGCGAGGGCAGCGACGGCTGTGCCGCGCCCGCGCCACCACCGGCATCAGCAGCAGCAGGAGGAGCGGCGCGGCGCGATGGGGTAGCGGCGGCGATGGCGGAGCCGGCGGAGCTGCAGCAGGAGTCAGTGGTGCGGTTCCTGGCGGCGCGGGGCGGGCGGGCGCGCAACGCGGAGCTGCTGGAGCATTTCCGGGACTGGCTGAGCCCCGCGGAGCCCGCCCGCCGCGCCGCCGCCCGGCACCGTTTCAAGGAGCTGGTCAACGCCGTGGCCACTGTGCGCCAAGAGCCCGGCACCGGAGTCAAGTACGTGCACCTCCGCCGCCGGTACTGCGCCCCGGCGCCCCCCACCGCCGCCCCCGCGACCCCCGGGGAGCAGGAGCCGCCGCCGGCGGTGAGAAACAGCGCGGAGCGGTCGAGCCCGCCGCCCTCGCCACGGGCGGGCGCTGAGGAGGCGCCGCCGCCGCCGCCGGCAGCGGGCGAGGATGCCGGCAGTCGCCCGCAGCCCGCGGGGCGGCGGGGAGAGCCGCCCCGGCCGAGCACCGCGGCGGCCGGGGGCCAGCGGAGGGGCTCCCGCCGGGGGCCGCGGCCCGGACGCAGTGGAGGCGGTGGCGAGGAGAGCGCGGTAGCGGAGGGCCCAGGGCAGGCCCCCCCACCAGCAGAGGAGACGGCGGCGGCCGAGGGTGCCCCCGGGGCGGTGGCGCAGAGCGGCGGCCGCCGGAGCCTGCGGGAGGCGGCGCGGGGCGGCTCCCCCCAGCTGAAGCGCGGCGCCCTCCCCGGCGGGGGCCGCGGCCGCGACTCGGACAGCGCCTCGGTGGCGTCGTCCTCCGCCGAGGACGAGGGGAGCACCACCGGCGCCGTGGCCCTGGACCCCCTGGAGCACGCCTGGATGCTGTCGGCCTCGGACGGGCGGTGGGAGAGCCTGGAGGGACTGCTGAGCTGCGAGCCGGCGCTGCTCTGCAAGCGGGACTTCATCACCGGCTTCACGGTGCTGCACTGGGCCGCCAAGCACGGGCGGCAGGAGCTGCTGGCCACGCTGGTCAACTTCGCCCAGCGGCACCGGCTGCCCGTGGACATCAACGCCCGCACGAGCGGCGGGCACACGGCGCTGCACATCGCCGCCATGCACGGCCACGCCGAGGTGGTGAAGCTGCTCGTGGGTGCCTACGACGCCGACGTGGACATCCGCGACTACAGCGGGCGCAAGGCTGCGCAGTACCTGCACCACAGCACCTCGGGGGACATGCGGAGCCTCGTGGGGGCCCTAGAGGAGGAGGAGGAGGAGGAAGGGAATGCTGGCAATGGGAGCGGGCGCTGGAGGCTGTCCAAGGTGTTGCCGTCCAACCTCATGAGCTACCGGCTCTCCCACCACCATCACAGCACTGGGGAGGAAGCTGAGGGCACCGACGGGGCAGCAGTGCCGGGCAAGGGCAAGGAGATGACCAGGAAAGCCTCCGGCAGTGGACGGATGAAGCCTCGGCTTAATAAGATCCGCTTCAGGACTCAGATCATCCACAACACGCCCTCCTTTCGTGGTGACACTGAGGAAGAAGAGCATGAGGAGAAATCCCTCAAAACATCGTTCAAGCTCAGGCCAAAGTCCAATGTTTTTGGATAAGGCTGTGGAGCAGGAGGTCTGGGAGGTGGGTGCATGGACCAAAGTGCCCTAAGGTGTAGCACAGAAGGTGAGGCAGATCCTAGTGGGTGCTCATCTACACTCGTGGATTCCAGCCAAAGGGGTTCTGAGTATCTTGCTTTAACTCTCAGCTCAGTGGTGTCAGTGAGCCCAGTGGGTCAGCGGGGCTCTGGGAGCTCACAGCTCCCAAGAGCAGCTGCTTTGGCCGGGTCCTCGGTGCTGAAATAAGAGCCAGCAGATGGGCTGAGAAACGCTGGGGTGTTTAAAAGCTGTGCTCCTTTCTCTCTAAAAGCAGGCTTCAGTATCATAAACCGGTGTTAGTGGATCTACTAGGATTAGCGAGTCGAGGGGGAAAGAAAAGGGCAAATGCTTTACTCTTGTATTGTCACTTGGTACTATAAACTACTGGCAAACAACTTGCTGTGTCAGAACACCTCAGTTATATGCAAGTATACCTTAAGTTTCTATTTAACAGCAATACCACCTGGCACAATGTGCAGTTGGGTACCCAAAATGAGATGGTAGAGAGTGGTTTCCTGTAAGAACCCAAGCTTTGAGCCATCAAAGACTTGAGCCTGTTGACTTTATGCATTGCAAATTGCCTGATTTGACGTGAATATATTTAAAAAAAAAAATTGCACTGCAAACAATGAATAAAGTTAACCATGTGCAGAAGTCTCTGTTGTTTGAGGTACTACTGAGCTTGCTTATTGCTGTTGGAATACTAATTCAAGATAATAGAAGCAAAGAGTTTTTACATATTTGGTATCTTATGTTTTGTCTTAGGCAAAGCAATTTTATTTTAATCACTGTGAATTCTCAAGTGCCAGACCTAGCGCAGTTCCAGTTATTAAGTCTGGTCAATTCCTCTTAATATTCTCTGTGTAACTCACTACATTTAAAATCAGAAAATTGTGTTGTATGTGTTACCTGTGAAAGTTGTTCTCTTTTAGAATAAAAGAGCAAGACACCATTGCATGAAATCTTCATGAAACTCTAATATGGTCCTGTACAGGTCTGCATTCACTAGCAACTTGTGTGCCAGTCCCTTCAACTGACTTTGTGCAGAAATGGAGAGAAAAATAAAAAAGAGGGGGAAAAAAAAGGAAGGTGTGTGAATTCACACATGGAGTGAAAAACTAGAATTCTGAAACTCTATCCTTGTTTATCATTCTGAGTGAAGCAGTATAATTGCATATCATAATCTAGTTAAGTGATGGCAATGGTTTTTGAGTTCTTTTAAACCTGTATGTCTAGAGAAGTGATAGCCAAGGCTTTGAACTGTTGTTTAACAACGTAGTAAGTCTTAATCTGATTGATGAGCCTATCCGTCTGCTAAACCTTTCGGAAACCTTGAATCTTGTTTCTCTGCTTTAAAGATAGCAATTCCAGTGAAATCTAGCAGGCAGATTTGTATCCATATTCAGCTTTCCTTAAGAATTGAGGTATTGAGCTGACCCTGGATCCTGAATGCTGCTCAAGGTAGCAGCTCATCTGTGTTCAGTTGTTAAGGTTTGGCCTGTTTCAATGCAACATTTGTCAAAGCGCGATTCGAGTTGGCTTCCTAGAATGGATGTGCATGTCTGGCCAATAGTTAACCAAAAGTAGATAGGCTTTGACACGTTAAAATCCAAATTTGAGACACTGATTAAATGCATGCCACAAGCTGTAGAACACCTCACAGGGGAGCTGCTGCTGGGAGTTGTGCACTTTCAAGGTAACAGCTGTCTGTGGTTCTTGCTGGTGGCTTACATTTCTTGTAGCAGCAGGGGAAGGAAGTTCTGCCAATGCATTGGCTTTAGACTTCCCATGCAGATAAATTACCAGTTTCTGCACTTTGTGTCAAAGCTAATAAATGACAGTGTTTGCATAGGCATGCAAGCGACACTTTAACTATTTCTGGGGAAAGTTACATTTAAAAAAATTAAATCTCTGTGTAGGTGCTGGTCATTACTTTTGTGCAAAAAGACTAGAAATTATACAGAGGTTCAGGTTTAGTTTATAACTTTTAAGCTATATTGATATAGATTTCATGTGCCTTCTTGGGTTGGTTGCCACAAATGTGATGGATAAAATCAGTCTTGCAAAGCACTTTTTCTTTACATCTGTGGATCTGTGGGATGGGACCAGAAATTTTCCCTTGGCCCTTCCCATTTAAGCTGTACACCTCTATAAAAATGGGGTGTCTGAAATAGAGGGAGGGACCAATCATACAAATTATAGCATAGAGCTAATTCGGTTGCAACAGAAAAGAAAATTAAATGCCTAAGTCTTAAACTTCCTTCTCTCTGGAAGATAAATCACTTTTTAGACTTCTTTAGGAAGGAAGTTTTCTGACTGAATGCTTGCAACATGAACTCAATTAAGAACATATTCCATGCAACTACCAGTGTCCAGACCTTATTAAAGTAGCTTTTCTGCTTTGAGAGTTTATAGTTGTTTCATACAAAGCTGTTGGGTGAAGTGTTTATCTCTTCACATGGAAATAGCAAAGAATTGCACAAAAATAATGAGTTTTAGATAGATGTTGGGTTCTGGGGGAATAATTTGAGGGTTTTGAATATAGCACACCTTGGATTTGAAGAGACTTAACTGGAACATAATCTTGCGTAATACGGTAGAACTTTGGTAATTATTACGGGAACTTGAAAAATAGGAAAAAGATGCCTCATTTATAACTCATTACTTGATGTATCAAAGTGAAATTGTTGGTCCACTGATACTGTTCACCTGTCAATTAATGAAATTTCACCACAATGGTCCAAAGGTCTTTGCAAGGTGGGGTGCAACAGAGCAAACATCTCTTGGTGTTTGAGATATACTGAGGAATCACTAGATAACTACTCGTGTCTGTCTGTGCTATGGAACTAAAGCACTTTGATTTCACAATTATGACTTGTCACATTCCACAGGGTTACTTTTTATAACATGAGCTAAAATTTAATGGGGTTTTTTGAGATGGGAAAGACTCTGTTACAAGATATTTACAGTCTAAATGTACGCTTGAGTCAAATATTTTGGATACATTGCCTAGAAAGATGTGAATTTGAAATAAAGTTGTATGGTACAGAAAACTGGAGCACTTACTGGTATGTTTTAAATGGTACGTCTGAAGTTACTGGATGTGTTCAATTTTTATGATGTGTGTAAGGTGGCAAGACTGTAATGTAAACATTTGGTATCTTTTGTTGAACCATATGTTTGAAAAAAATTAGAGGCCTGGAAGTCAGTTTTTATTACGCTTTTTATGGGTGTCTCTCTGAATGATTATGAGTTAAGAATCTGTAAGCTTTGGTTTTACAAAATAAAAGAGCCCATGAACGGTTTATGCTTGACTCAGCTCCTGTATGATACATACTTAGGTGCTATGTGCATATTGGCTATTAAAACTGTGTACTATTTTGTGTTGGGTTTTTTAATCATCAAGATGTCTGATGTCATCTAGCACTCAAAGAGTAAGACATAAAAAAATACAGTTGAGTTGTTTGCAAGAAGTAACATTTTTTTTTGGCAGTTACTCTCTAATAATTCAGGTCAAAGTAAATGAAGGCACAACAATTTTTGTTGTGGACAAGTATGTCTAAATAAGGGCCTGGCAGAGTGGCATTGCTTAACTGAAAATAGTATCCTGACCCTACTTCTGTGCAGGTTAATATCTCTGACCCTGGAAAGACTAATACTAGTTTTGGTCACTGTGTAAAGGTTAATACCTCATTAAAAAAGGTTTAGGATTAAGGTATTTTGGAATATGTCTTAAGTACAGCTGGTGGTTTCTCTAAAGGGAAGTTTCATTTCTTTACCAAGCTAGACTGTGGGATCTTGGTATATCTAAAAATTCTTAGAAGCTGCCACCTTGCCAAAAGATATTTTAAAACTAGTAAACCTTGTGCAACCAGTAACTCCTCCAACAGACATCCAGAGTTGTGCTTAGACTGAAAGAAGTCTTAGCTGTTACCGTGCTGGTGGATCAGGATGCATGCAGCTCCAAACCAAGCAACCCCAAATCAGTAGTATGGTGACACGAGTGAGAGTAAAAGGGAGGGGGAAGTGTTCTTGGAAACTTAGGGGAGAGTAGAGGAATGCAGGAAGCAGCTTGAGGTTATGGGAGTGATGGAGGACTTGGTAGGAGAGCAATCTACATGAACCTTGCTGATCGTGCAATGGCTTGATAGTTTAGAAAATTGTATCTAAACATATTTCCCTTCTACAGAGTAATAGTTGAGAGAGATGACTTGTTGAGAGCTCTAATGTAAATTAATGTCTGATGCTAAGTATTTTAGTTGGCCCTCTTACCAGCATTTCTTAGTGTGACTAGTACTGTTTGCAAAAGCGCAAACAACTCTTGTGTTGAGTGTAGCTACAGCTGTTGCAGGAGAGTCCTGGTACATCAGAATGAACCCACTTAACTTCAGGCTTCTCACTGAAAGAGAAGCCCTTCAGCATTGCATTGCTGACTTATTTTTCCATTAGCTAGAAAGGAGGACTAAGGGGATTACAGTCCTGACTTAATATGCCTTGCCTTGTATGGAATGCATATGAACCTGAAGGCAATAAATTAAACTTCAGAGACTTTATCCAGAAAAAAGTATTTTAATCATGCATTTTGTTTCCCTGTTGACATTGAAGAATTAAAAAAAAAGGTACATACTGTAATTTTTTCATGTCCTCTACTCAGTGTGGGGAGAAGGGAGAAGGAAGAAGTCTGAGATTAAAGTTAGGGTTTGAGAGAGGGATTAGCTTTTCAGTTTGTGTTAAAACAGTGTACAGTTTGACAGAAAAAGATGGAACATACGATTTTGAATTTCCAGTTTTGTTATAATGAAACATTATTTTGCAGCTGTTCCAGAATTTATCTTCTATGATTTTTCAGTTTAGCCAAATCTAGTACTGGTGTGTCCTAATACACACACTGTTACAACCCGCCCCAGGGAAAGGGGAGGGGAGTGTATCAATAATTCCCTTGGGGTGGATTAGAGTGAAACGACACTGAATAATCAATGTCTGAAAACATATATTTATTTTAACAATTTTGTATCAACAGGTATCCACAGGTATGCTAGCATTTTGGGTGTTGTCATATAACAACGTGGCATAGAGATAACCTTTGTGGGGGGGAGAAAATGAATAGGGGAGAAAGACAGGATAAGAGTAAGGGAGAGTAAGGAAAAAGAAAAGATGACAGTGGAAAAAAAAGTATAAAGTCACCGCCCACGGGGTCCAGCGATGACACTTGGTAGTTGCCGCTTCCATGTCTGTCAGTTGAAGTGGTGGCCTTGATCTGCTGGGGGTGAAGGAGGGAAGCCCCCACACTCCAAGAAGTTATGAGTTATTATATCCATGGTCAGTGTCATGGGCCATGCCTCGAGCCTCCAAACTCTCCCTGGGCCCTGCGCGGAGTTTCTGTGTCTGGCCTGGTTCCCCCCTTTTTTTTTTTTTAGATTGGCAGAGGGGGGGACGGGCTTTTATGGGCCATCAGAGGTCTGCCTTTTCAGGGCTCGACACCTTCAATTGCCCATCAGAGGTATAATGCAACAGTCAAAAGCCTGCAAGAGCCTCCTAGAATGCATAAATCATCAACCATTTCAGTCTCTGACACACACGTTATTGGAAAACGGAGGCAACCTAGCAGGTTTTGTGTTTGGTTTTAATAAAACTGTGTTAGAGGTGAGGTATTTCATCTTCTGTGGTAAAACCTGAAGAAACCATATTCTGAGACTTTTACCAGGAGTTAAGCTGCTACTGGCACGTGAAAGAGTTGCCCTTAGAGTACGTAATACTCAGGTCAAGGTGCAAAAGCATTCTGTGTTCTTCCAGCTAGATCAGGCATGCCAAATGAAGCATTCTAGTGCACTTAGGTGCACCTACCCTTCTGTGTAGACAGCGGTAAACTGTCTTCTCCCCTAGGTTACTGGGGAGCATAAGAAGGAGTTAGCAAGTCATATTAATCTCTTTTAATGTGCCCTTATTTCACTAAGAGTCATTTGGCAAACCTGTGGTACTGGTGAGAGGTGACGGAAGTAAATGATCCATGTGCATGGGTGGCTCTGTGTCAGTGCAGGTAAGTGATTGAAGCTTACTGCTGTCAGTCTAAAGCAGATAATCTGCAGAACGTATCCTTGCATCAATCCTTGTCCATGAAGAGAGGTTTTATAAACCTAATCTTAAATGCTACTAACCACTAGAATTAATTCAGTATCTTGGGCTGTATGTAGAGCTAAGGCCTAATTTTAGCTGAAGCACTGGGCATTTCCTCAGTATTCTTCCCCTGCAGCCAGAGGCCGCCTGCTGGCTGGCTGTTGAGCTCTACTAGTTATTTCACTTTGCAGTTCCTTAAGAGTGCCCGAGAAACTGGTAGTAGGATGGGCATAAATAATGGATATCTCTTTTGGAAGCTTGATGGGGTGATGGTTGTTTGGGTGGAGTGTGGCTATTCTGGAAGTGTAGGGTTTTTTTCTTTTCAAAAAGAGATAAAGGATGCCCTCGATATATGTTGGGGCACAGAAGTACCTTGAGACATTTAATACTAAACAGGTGCTGTCCCTTTTACTACTTTAAATACAGAAAGACAAAATGGACTGTGCAGGCTATAAAGATATCTCTGTTCACTGGACACAAAACCTGCGTGACATAAAGCATCAAAGTACCAGAAAACATGTTTGTAACGCTTGAATGTATAAGGACATCTATAGTTGCTATTTCTCTTCCTTGTTACCCATGGCATACTATCTTACAGAAATGACCGTGACAGTTTAGGAGACTATAATTAAAGGAATGCAGCTCAGAAAATGGGGATGCTTCAAATAAAGAAATCTCTCTATTAAGAATTAAATGGAAAAACTAAACATAAGCTTTCCTTTTCTACTTTAAACTTCAGGAGTGAGAAGAACAAAAATTGTGTTGATGATGGAGGTATCCACATATAGCATTTTAATTACAATAAGAGACAAGAAAACTTAAAGTTGGTGGGCAAATGTGGGAAAAGACCGCAATTTCTCTTCCATGAGTTTAGTGTTGTGTACCTTAAAGGCAACACTGGTGGATAAGAAGCACTAAGCATAGTTCATAGGATTTCCAATGATTATTCCACTAGCCATGTCAAAACTATTATCTTTTACAATGAGTCCTAAATGGGAGTTCTGACTAACCTGAATACCCACTTCATCCTCTTTTGCTGGTGAGTGTCCTGTGATCCCTGTGTAGATGAATCCAATTTCTGGAAAACTTTGCCTCACGTCCTATTAAAAGTAGAATATTGTAACTTTACATATGACTAATCTAAGTTCACTTCCCTACACACCCTTCAAACTGAATGCCTGATGTAAGAAGAAGGGGAAAAAAAAGTAAACCATCTCAGACATGCCAGCAAACAGTGACTAATCGGTACAGGGCAACAGCTCCTTTCTTTGTAATCACAGAATGGTTTTACTGTTCCACATTCCACAAAGGTGCTCTTCAGGGGTCCTTTCCTGGTGCCTGGTCAAAACTTGTGCTGATGACATTGCACAGTCAGTATCCCATAATATTGTCCAAATACAAGAAAGGCTGTAGCTCCTCACCCACTGTCCATAGAATCTTTGCAACCTACTCAAACGGTGGCAGCCAGGCAGGAATCATGTATGTGTGTATGTGTGTACCCATGTGCAAAAAAAGAAAAGGAATGATAGCTTTTGGCTAGATGTTTTCCTACTTTTCCCTCACATCTCACTATGACTTTCCTGGGAGCCAGTCAACTCATTTGATTGACTCAAGGGATATTTTTAGCCTAAATTTGCAAACCTATATCCTTAAGATTTAGTTTAAACAACACAATTGAACTCAAGCTTAACTGGTGAAATATTCCTAGGAAGAACTTAAGCCCAACCTAGTTGATGAATATATGTGAAAATCAGTGTGTGACTGCAACACTGGCTTCAAGGCTTTAGCTGACAACTTGCATTTATATCCTGGGCTTGATAGCTGACTGCCATAATGATGACTGCTACAGAAAACTACACCAATATCTATGAAATAATGGCAGAAAAAAACACTGTTAAAAAATCGACATTTGAAATTTTGTTTAATTTTGCAGTGTAATTTTAACTATACACCAGTTAAGAATCAGATTAACCCTGCTGCTTGCTATAATCTGGTTTTTGATTTGGGGAGTGTGAGGACAAAGAAGATAATTGTTATTATAGGATCCTCAGGTTCCCATGTTTCGTCATAACAGCAGTACTACCCTACCCATACAGAACATCTGTAGATTCTCTACAGACACTACTAAATTGCTTACAATCCATATGTAGGAATGGGAAATACTCCTGTAAAATATATCCCAAAAATTATA